CACTAATTAGTGTAATCTATTTAATTATGAACATGACAGACAGTTACCATAAATTATAGTCGATATCATGTTTCTGGAAACCGAAAAATTAACCTAATAATTTTAAAACAGCTTATATTGATTATGTTTAAATGCAAGAGTGTTTCCATTGTAGTGAATAACTTTAACGAATAAGATTTAATAGCACAGATGCTACCAGCAATTGAATTAACTATGCATTACGAACCATTATTAATGTGTACGGAATTTGATCAAATAATCAAAGGACCTTTACCATCTAATCCCAGTACAAATATTAAATGCTTTACTATTTATTTACTTATTACGTCGTGCATGTTGATTGTTGTTTATTTATGTATATACTTATGGTTTATTTTGTACTAGATAAGATAGGAGTGGGTAAACTACAATGAATTAAGAATCATCAATATTGAATTAAAAAATATTCAAGAATTCATTCCAAATGTCATATTAGATGTTCTCCAATTATATCAAACAAATAGAAGAAAACTTGGTGTATGTGTATATTGGTATAAGATAGTCAGATTATATTCAACCTATAACTGATTAATCAACAAATCAACTTGATAATAGAAATATCTTAACCAGACATTGACAAAGTATTGATAGTAAATGAAGCACTACCACTTTCCATAGTAAATAGCCCATATTTCAACAAGGTTATATCATTAGTGTTCAATTATCAAAAAAATTCATCTTCGGTAAACCATTACTTTCAAAGCTAAACTATAAGATTTTCACGTTTTGATCGTGTAATTGTGGTATTGTGGTTAAAACGTTAGATTCGTTAAACGCCATTTGATTTTGAGATGAGAAATCTAAAGCTAACAGCTTAATTTATCCTAGTTATGAGCCCATGCGTTGACATCAAAGGCGCGTACGGAGTCTGGACAAAAAAAATATAAATTTTAAATCGTTAAACATTTAAATTTGAGATGGTAAATTAGTTAACAGCTCAATTTGTTTTTAGGGTTTTATTTAAGCGTTCTTCAATTCCATTCTGTGATGGTGAATATACTGTTAGTAACTATGTGAAATACCATATCTGATAAGAATATACTACAAACAATTTCAAAAAGAGCATTCAATTATTATTATAATGAAGGAATTTGAAAATTAGTACAAATGTTTGAGTCAAAATTAATTCCTTATGCCACATACGTTAAGATTGAATACCAATTACAATATCTTACTATGATGACATTTAATGGTTCAATATACACATTTTGATGAAAAAGACTAATAATTTTACGCATGTAGAAGGCATACCTATATTACAGCACAATTTATCATCTATCTATAACATTCTGGTTTATATTAACTGGTACTAGTATGGATTTAGATATATATAGTAAATTGACGTCTACAACGAGCTAGGAATCAATATTGAGAAAAATAATCAAGAATTCAATCCCAACATCATATTAGATATTCTCCAATAATTAACAATCAGAAGGAAAGCTTGTACATGTATATTATCATCATATGATCTATAATAATGGTCCCACTCACAGGTTATCATTCATCTTGAATATTATCCAATTCCACAATTTACCTGGGAAATGGTGATCATTAATGAACTCTTGTGATATATTAAAACTGTAAGATAGAAACCTAAGTTGTTTTATATAATGAAGCTTTAGCAAAACAGCCACAAATTGTTAATTAATTGTTTTTTTAACCATGGTTGATCCAATATATCATATCTTCTGTCAGTTGAAAAACCTCTGGATTAACGTAGCTCAAGATTTCCTCATGCTAACATATCTGAAAAAATAAAATTGATACTATCAAAATAATGAACATTATCAGCTGGTTTAAGCATTCAATATTGTAGTTACATAGATCAATTGAAAAAGAAAAAAATAATGTGGAAAATATTTGACGTTGTCAATTTTCATGGTTATGAGCCCACGTTAGCTGGTTTTATTTTTGTAATAGTAATATTATAGTGCACTGCTAGTATACTGTTACCTGTATACCACAATCCTGATATCAAACACAAATATTGTACCAGCAGCATTTAATCCAAATGGCAGTGATCTTATACCAAAACATCCTATTTGTGTTACAACAGCTAATATGATATCAAAATGAGCTATAGGAACCTGGTTATACGCTTTGGTTAAATCTAACTTTGTTTTTATTTTAAATTTATTAAAGTTTGTGCCCATTAATGAGATATAATGTTTAAAAAGTACCATCAAAGAGTTTTCATGCAATCAATTTCAATGAGTTAATTTGATATGACAATTCTTGAATCAAATGAATTACCGTACGTTACATATGTTAAGATTGAATTTCAATAACAATATCTTACTATGATGACAATTACTGGTTTATTAATATACAGTTTTTTATGAAATAGTTAATGGTAATCCATGTAGAGCGTACCTAGATATATATTAGAGTATATGACACACAACAGACGTCCATTTTACAACTAATTTATTATATTATATTCTATTTATCCATATCATGAAGTTAATACATCACTTTTAGGAAAACAGTGGTTCATGAGTCAGTGATGGAATTATAATCAAAATGAATTATCCAGTCAAGGAAGCACTACAAAGTATCTACATCTACAAAGTCCCATTAAGACATTATATTAATGGCTTAATAACAAGAAAAAAAATGATACATAGTGACCAATCAATAATATAACTAAAGATCTTCAATTCTGATACAATAGTTGTAAAATTCCCCCAAATAAAACAACCCAATACCAAAAACAACAAAAATTTATTATAACCATACTGATGGAATTAATTATAATCGTATATATCAACTTCAAATCATTCATGAAGGATAAAAAGGTTTTTTTTGATCATATAAAGATATAAAGATAATAAAACCATGTTTGTCTTGAGCAAAAAAAAATCCACTTCAAAAAAGAACTCAATCATTACAAACATCAAAAACTTCTTCAACTCGAAACCACTATGTGAGTTGGACGCCGATTATAATTAATCTGGATACTTCAATGAAATTGAAGCACCGGTTTTTTAACAAAAGATAAAACCATAACTGATAAAATTCCCAAAAGTATCAAAAAAAACAGGAACTTATGATTCAGTCACCAAAAAACTCCAACGTGAACAAACAAACGAATCACGTTGATATGCAGTAGCTATGTTAACTTCCATAACCTCGAATTGAAATGATCATAAATGTGAAAATGAGGTATTATTCAACCATGATGAAAAGCATTTTTAAGATTAAATGTAAATTTCATTGGAGTCCCCCAATACCAACTTGAACTTTATAAAAACCAAAACAAAAAAAACCCATCATCAACAGCTAAAATCCTTTAGATTCTTAACCCCATAACCAGCATTCATAAAAATTTCACCATATTCAATCATCATAAGCACCAAAAACCAAACAAAAGTACTGCAATTATTCAATGATTCCACTCCCCAATGAAATCATCAAATAATAAAACTCATCTACCTAATCAAAGGAACAAGTTAACATGATATTAACGTAATCATGTTGTAAAACCGGATCCACAATATTAACCTAATTCAACTTTTTCCCAATATTAATAACATTTCAAAAAAACCATCCAAAAAAACCCCCGAATTTTTGAATTTTAATTGATCATACTTATTCAAAGTATATTGAATTTATAATACTTTGATTTATATGCAAAGATAATATTATAATAAAACCTTGATGTTATAATATATATGGGTATATATCAAATATTATGTGATATTGATATATATCTATTGTGGATAAAGAAAGGAAAAAAAAGTCTAAAGAAGATATTGAAATGAATTAAATGGGAAAATGGTCTTTATATAGTTATTGGGGACTGAATTATCTGTTTAATGGGTTGTGAATTGAATGGGCTTCTGTTTAGAAATGAGATGTAATTATCTGTTTAGATTGATTTCTGTTCAAGATTGAGTTGTTAATTTGAATGTAGATGGTGTAATAAGTGGTTACGAGCCCATGTAAGCGGAAGACCATATCGTTTTCTTTTATTAGGTCGATTGTTCGATTTACTCTTTCAGTTGCCCCCATCACGATTCACTGGGAACTTTTTAAAGTCAGAACCGAATGCTTGGAAGATGTTTTCGAAATGGAAATTGTTATACATTACTCGATCATTTAATGTGCACTTGGTTATAGGCCTTTTTGAAATCAATCTTTGACTTTATAGGAAATTTAGCAAAGTTGGTTACCCATGAATAACGTCGATTAATAACGTCCATACGTTACATATGTTAAGATTGAATTTCAATTTACAATATCTTACTATGATGACATTTAATGGTTTAATATACATTTTTTTGGTAACATCCACAATAATGTAGAAAAAACACGTAGTTCAATTAAATCTACAAATTGCAAAACAAAAAGCTTAGACGATATATGAGAAAAAAATTCACAAGAGTCATTTAAAATATCATACTAAATATTCTTCAGTAATAATCTATTCTAAAGTACTCCTGTATTGTGTATATGATAATAAACACTTTAATGTCATAAGTATTTAATTAATATGAACAATTAATGTTAATCATGAAGCTGTTCCGTCTAATTATTATATGAAATAATATTGTTAATATCTTCAAACATTGCTAGCAACCAAAAATTAAAGGTATAGAATATCTAGATAATGCATGTTATACAATACAACCTATGCCAAAATCCAGACTACTCGTGAAAAATCAAGGAAATCCCTTTTTTCAATTACTTTCTGACCTCTTTCGGTAAAGAGAATTGGATAGCTTTGAGAATCTTTAGTATTATGAACAATTTTTTTTTCATCGACATTCAAATCTATCATGCTGTCTGTACCATAATCAATGAACCAATATAACTACGAGTACTACAATTCAATTGACTTTGAAATATTCTAATATTACAAATTACTATTGTACACAATTACTGTTCTATAAAATAAAACTACCTCCTTCAATCAAAAGATTCTTACCAAACAAAACACCAGTTTATACAACACCTCATTTTTTAAACCCATTTTCAATTAACCAATCTCCAACATCTTTACCTTCTCTTTCAATCCATTTAGCTTTAGATTTAATCAAATCATAAGATTGTGCTAAACTTTTATTAAATTTCTTAGTATCTTTATCCTTAAAAAACAATTCAATTTCTTTAATCTTATCTAATGAAGTAAATGAACTTGTTGAAAATTTAATAATTGAACCTAATAAAGAAAAACTTGATGGTATAGTTTCCACAATTTTATCCCAATTTTGTTGAAGCCATGACCATGTTAATAAAATACCTGATTTATGAGTACGCAATGCTTGAAATGGGATACGAATATCTGATTTATCAACTATAGTTGGATCTAATATGATTGATAATGTTCTTGTGATTAAATTTTCATTATGGAAAAAGCCAAAAGTTTTTAAAATTATTTTTCTTTCATCTTTTGGTATAGATGGATCTTGGTATAATTTAAAAAGTTGATTATATTGGAGTTCATCACCATGTTTAGCCACAGTACGGAAAATTATAGGTTTTAAAGTTGAATGAATTGCATGAGTATCACCATTAATATATTTTTCAAATGTGTCGAAACTCCATTTTATAGTTTCAGGATCATTAACATTTGATGCAGTGGAGAATAATATAGTTTTTAAATTTTTCAAATCAATCGAATCTGAATCTTGTATAATCCAACCTAATGAATGAATCTTATCATTTATAAGAGATTTAATAAAGTTATCTAAACCATTAATAACCTTTTCATCTTCAAATAGTAAGTTCTTCTGTAATTCTTCAATTTTTTTCAAAATTTCATTCCAAACTGCAAAATTCTCTTCATCTGACCAACCTTCAATTAAATTTAAAAAAATTGAAGTTTTTTCATACCCTGCATTTGATAATGAATAAGCATCCCCAACTAAACCAATTTTATCTTCAATTGACAATAAACCTTGTCGAGCCGCTTGACTTAATTTATCCCAACGATCTGAAGGGTATGAAGTACGATAAAGACCAATATGATTTGAATTTATCTTGTAGAAATCTAAATCAGCACCAAGACCTGTTAAATTTATTTCTAACTCCTTGGTATTCATTATTATGGAGTGATCAATATCATTATTTAAGGTTTTTAAATTCAGGAAAATTGGATAAATAATTTCATCTTCCTGTGGCGTAACATCAAAAGTTGATAAAAATCTATTTTGCCTCAAAGTGATTGAATTAGTTTCATGATTCTCAGTTATTGTTACCAAAGGGAAACCAACTTCTTTAGTCCAAACATTCATTACTTCAACAACATCTTTCCCCGAAGCTTTTGATAAAGCATCCCAAAGCTCCAAAGTTTTTGTAGTTCCATATTGAAACTTGTTTAAATATGAAGAAACACCTTTAAAAAAAACATCTTCACCTAACCAATTCACAACAATTGTTAACAGGGCAGAACCTTTACAATAAGTAATATTATCAAATATTTGATCAATATCAGAACTTGAATTTATTGGAATTTCCACTGGATGTGAAGACCTCAAAGAATCTATATTTAATGCAACTTCAATAGTTTTAGAAATATAACTTTCATTTAATTTCCAATCTGGATGAAATTTTTGGGATATAAACCATGACATGAACGTAGCAAAACCTTCATTTAACCATAATCCATCCCACCAATCCATTGTAACTAAGTTCCCAAACCATTGATGAGCAAGTTCATGTATAACAGTTTCTGCAATATCTTGTTTTAGTGATATGTTTTCATGGTCTTGTTCTTCAATAAATGCATCAATTTCACTACTTATTATACAACCCCAATTTTCCATTGCACCTAAATATCCAGGTATAGCGACATAATCTAATTTGGCTAATGGATATTTTAAATTGAATAAATTTTCCAAGTAGTTCAATGTCTTTATTGTTAGTTCTAGGACAAATTTCCCTTTTTGTTGGTTTCCTTTTAAGGCATAGAATCTTATTGGGATATGGAACTCTTTTGATTCAATATAATCTAATTCTCCTATAACAAATGATAGCAAATAAGTTGAGATTAAAGGGGTTGGATTAAAACTAGTTATTTTTTTATTGTTTTCCTGGGGTATGATTTTTTTAACATCTGAATTGGAAAGCACAGTTAAATGATTTTCAGTAATTAAACTAATATTAAAAATAGCTTTAAAATTAGGTTCGTCAAAACATGGGAATGAAGTTCTTGTATAAATTGGTTCAAATTGAGTGACTGCAACATATTTTGTTTTATCTTGGTCTTTATATTGATAATAATAAAACCCATCCATTGAATCATTTAATGTACTTGTGAAATTTATATCTATTGTTATCAAATCATCTATATGGAACTGGGTATGAGGGAATTTGAAAGTAACTGATTGATTTGAATCATTGAATGTGATATCATTTGAATATTGTGTTGTTTCAATTATATGAGCATCATGAATATCAATTTTGTATGAATTTAATGTTATGAAATTACTTTCTTCTAAGACTTTTAATTGTATCTTAACATTACCATGGACTTTAAAATTGGTGAAATTTGGCTCCAATGATAAATCATAGACCAATGGTTTGACATTAGTTGGTAACTCAGTGTGAATAGACATTTTTGAAGAAACCAATATACTGATATGATCTTGATGGCTTTCTTGGGCATCATTAGTTTATATATGATCTAGATGTTTCTATTGTTTCCCTATCTATATCCGATTATAAAGCATTAAAGCCACAAATATTTGTTATCGGTGAGTCATTGTTGAAAGGGAAGAATATGAATGCAGAAAGTGTAAATAAGTGTCATTATTGAAGTATGAGTTTATTCTAAGTTTAGTTTGATGTACTTTAATAAGATGTGAAATTATTAGACAGAACTTCAACTTGGGAAGAGTAAGCTGGTTGGCTTTGTACGCGAAAATAGTGTACACTATAACACCATAACACCATAACTAAAAGTACGTTGTAGTTCAACTCTACCTTTGTATCATATAATTGTTTAGTATATACTACATCATAAGTGTTTAATGTAGTTGGTACATATTATCAATCTCTACAATCAAATCCAAGTTATAGTAGTAAAAATATATATTAATCAGATCCAAGAATTAGTCATACTAAATTATCTTCAGTAACCATAATCTTAATCTTGGATATCAGTGGAGATATAATATAGACTCAATCAATTAGTAGTGTATCAATTAATATTGTATCAACTAATATGAATTGTATCTAATATATCTAGTAATTGAAAGAGTTTTCCAATACTAACAATGGAGAATCTTATAAAATATTCACAAATTTTGCTTTTATCCCTACAGACGGAACTCTGAAAGTCGAATACCAAAATTTACTATCCTCCCTGATAAAAGTTAAACATCTAATTATTCAGTATACTCTTTTAGTAACAAGAAGTTGTTAAAATTGAAATTTGAAATGTTTTTTACACAGTATAAGAAACGCGCGAATTTCAAAAAGTTACCCTTTGATCCATAAGTTAACTACCAGCACAAGAACAGATCAACTGGATTAAGCAGAAATCCTGCATGGGAATATACGGGTGTTGTGTTCAATTGAAGGAGATTATCGTGTGTAATTGCAGTATTTTATTGTCTTTAGATCTCAGTATTACACAGTCCCTTGATCCTCCTTATTTTGATTCTTTTATACTCTATAGTAAACAGTAGTCTAACAATCAGATGAGATGAGATCAGTATAATCTCATAGATACGACAGGTGCTACAAATACAATCATACAACCGAGTAATTGTAATATAATAGTAGTAATAGTAATAACGTGATTATTTTGTGTCACAAGTTGGTGCAATCCCATCTCATTTCTGTCAGCCTTCTTTCAATTGTTCGTCAGTTGATTACAATTGAAATAACCAAAATACCACCAAATAATCAACAACACACTCAATTGACTTCTAAAAACATGGTAATCCTACTAAACCATACTCAATAATCACAATAAACACATAAATAACAACAAATACTCGTTTCTCACTGTAGTATACCCAACTTTTAAACACTTTCCAACGTATAATAACCTCTTTCCCACTGCCCCTACCGATCCCATTTTTGCTGGTAACATCACCCAATGTTCACTTTTTCCATGCAATTTTGGATATTTATAAAGGGACTGATCCCATCCATTTGAAATTTTTACTTGTATTATTATATACTTTTGTTTTAATTAAAGTAAACATACTTCGTATTATAACAAGAGTGAGTTAATCAATTCAATTGATATCAATTGAAATCAATTATACCCATCAATTGTACCCATTACTAACACATCAAGATGTCTTTATCAAGTAAATTATCTGTCCAAGATTTAAACGTTGAAAACAAACGTGTTTTCATTCGTGTTGATTTCAACGTCCCATTAGATGGTAAAACCATTACAAACAATCAAAGAATTGTTGCTGCTTTACCAACTATTCAATACGTTGCTGAACATAAACCAAAAGCTATCATTTTAGCTTCTCATTTAGGTAGACCAAATGGTGAACCAAATGAAAAATATTCATTAGCTCCAATTGCTGAAGAATTATCCAAATTATTAAATAAACCTGTTAAATTCTTAAAAGAATCTGTTGGCTCAGAAGTTGAATCTGCTGTTAACTCTGCTTCAAATGGTGAAATTTTCCTTTTAGAAAATTTACGTTTCCATATTGAAGAAGAAGGTTCTAAAAAAACTGCTGAAGGTAAAGTTAAAGCTTCCAAGGAAGATGTTGAAAAATTCAGAAAACAATTAACTGCTTTAGCTGATGTTTATGTTAATGATGCTTTTGGTACTGCTCATAGAGCTCATTCTTCAATGGTTGGTTTTGATTTACCACAAAGAGCTGCTGGTTTCTTAATGGCTAAAGAATTAACTTATTTTGCTAAAGCTTTAGAAAACCCAACAAGACCATTCTTAGCTATCTTGGGTGGTGCTAAAGTTTCTGATAAAATTCAATTGATTGATAACTTATTAGATAAAGTTAATTTATTAATTGTTGGTGGTGGTATGGCTTTCACTTTTAAAAAAGTCTTGGATAACACTGAAATTGGTAACTCATTATTTGATAAAGAAGGTGCTAAAATTGTTCCTCAATTAATTGAAAAAGCTAAGAAGAATGGTGTTGAAATTGTCTTACCAGTTGATTTCGTTACTGCTGATGATTTCTCAAAAGATGCAAATACTGGTTATGCTACTGCTGAACAAGGTATTCCAGAAGGTTGGGAAGGTTTAGATGGTGGTCCAAAAACTAGAGAATTATTCGCTGCTACTGTTGCTAAAGCTAAAACCATTGTTTGGAATGGTCCTCCAGGTGTTTTCGAATTTGAAAAATTCGCTGAAGGTACTAAATCTTTATTAGATGCTGCTGTTTCATCAGCTGAAGCTGGTAATACCGTTATCATTGGTGGTGGTGATACTGCTACTGTTGCTAAAAAATTCGGTAAAGCTGATAAATTATCTCATGTTTCAACTGGTGGTGGTGCTTCTTTAGAATTATTAGAAGGTAAAGAATTACCAGGTGTTACTTACTTATCAAACAAATAATTTAGCGATAGCTAAATTAAACATAGGTGTTACCTCAAAAGAATAAGCTTGATGCTATGAATTTTAATGTATGAATTATATTTTTTTATTATAATACAATGTAGTTTATATGCTATTACTATATACATTTAATCAACTTCAATCACATCATCATCAATAATTTCTTCTTTAACAACTTTATCAAAATATTTATGATCAATCCTAAATTGATCTAAATGTTTCCCCAACTTGGATGGTGGATTATTTGCACCAAAATTTCTTTGTTCTGGTGGAACATATTTAAAACCTAATAATTTGAAAATCTTTTTTTCACTAAAACTTTCAATTAACATTGTTTTATCTTCAACATTTTTACCTTGGACATATTTAATCCTTTTAAACAATCCACTTTCATTCAACACTAACCCATTTTTAACGGCTTTTAATCTTATCAGTCTATTAAAATAATCATTACCTGTAAAATAAATAAATGCTGCACCTCTTTCCTTCCATGGAACCATTAGGAAATCAATACGACGACATTTCCCCCATTTTCCTTCAGAATATTCAGGTAATCTTGATGCATAATTTGGTGGTAATGCACATCCACTAAGAAATTTTGTACTATGTTTTTTTTGTAATGAACATTTTAAATAACCAACTTGTTCAATCTTGACCAATATTTTCTCTAGAATCTCCTTCATCTCTTCATTATCTGCATTTGGTTTTGTTATTATGAAATCAACATCTCCACATGTTGGTGAACCACGTCTATAACTACCACCAATGGTAAATTGAACTAGTGGGTCAATTTGTGAAACTAAATCACTCATAAATTCATTATGCAGGGTACATTCATCTCTAGGAATTCTTTCTAACCATTCATCATAATATTTTAACCCCAAGGTTTGATTACTTGTTAAATCTGGTTTTTGTGAAACATCTTCTAAAGTTCTTAAACCATCATTATACCATTTTTTAGCAGAAACTGGACCAACTCCATGGATACCCATGAAAAGTTTTGAAACTTGATGTTCTTTATCAGATTTAATTTCATTTAAACTTGATAATGTATTTGTCTTAACAATTTCTTCGATTTTTTGAGCAACTGATACACCAATTCCTTTTAATCTTAATGCTTCATTTGCATCACTTATAAAATCACCAGTATTATTCAAGGCATTTATTGCATTTTTGTATGCTTTTGCTTTGAAATGTTCACCTTGTAATAATCTTTCTTCGGCCATTTGATTTAACAAAAAGATTGTACGTTCATTGGGGTTACCTGTTGAACTTTCAGCAATTAATTTTTCCTTTGTTTCTTGTTTTTGTAAGTTTTCAATATGTTGCTTGGAAGCCGGTGATTCCTTTCTCGTTTCAGGTTTTAATTCATCTAGTTTTATGATATATTCTTTAGTATCTAATAGTTTTTGTTGTTCAATTGAATCAACTAACCAAGTTTGATTTAATATTTTACCTGGTTGGAAAGTTTTTGGAACTTTTGCATTTTTCAAACCAGCACTGATCTTATCTTTTGTCAAGTATACTTTAGTATCAACTAAAACATGTGTTGTAGTATCTTGATCAAATTTCTTCGCAACTGAAGCACCACCATTCCTAGCTAAATTTTTCCTAGTAAAGGTAACTTTTGATGAATTTATATTTGGTATAAATAAAAATTCTAACCCATCGAAAAGATAAGTTTTACTCATTTTACTGAGAACTTGACCAGACCTATTCATAATCTTTTGTAGTTATAGATCTAGTAATGATTCCCTCTGTTAATCACTGAATACTATATGAACATTGGGTAGTTTTTGAATCTTGATTAAGCTCAATATTTCTATCTGAAACTTATGTGACAAATATGTGATGTATCACAAATGTTTATGGGTATTAATTGATCATTTTCGAGGGTCGGTCAGGTGATATTGTTGTATCTGAGATTATCCAATAATATCAAAGAATATCTGGTTATTGACACCGGACGAATTGGCAGAAAATAAGGAGTATTTTAGTATCAATTTGATTGTATACTTTTACATATTTAATATTGTTTAGGATAGAATAGACTTATTTTATTATTATTATTGATTACATTACATTTGTATTAATTATATTTAATATACTCTTCGTTAATTAGATTTAGCCAAAAGTATATTTCACTTGTCCTAAAGGATTGAACAATATGGAAGGTCGGATTTCACTTCATCTGTCACTCACCACAGTGTCACTAATTCGCCATATTTTAAAGTTTTATCGATTAAAGCCATTACATACTTAAAAGTACAAACCACTGGAAAGTCACCCGATCCGATGGATGTGTCATATGCGGATATACCTTGATTTGTTTTAATCTTTAGTGATGCTATCAGTGGCTGCTTAAAGACAATAGATACGATGGAATTGACAAACTATTGGGATAATCAATACGACGGGTTTAAAGCATATACGTGATTGATTATAATGTGGCTTTCTTATTGGATTATCAACTGTTAAAAAAAATTTATCATATATATAAATGATGATCTCTTTATTGTTTCAGCTCTTAAGATGATCATGTACCTTGGGTAAAAACTAGAGATCATGAGTGATATAGAGTTAGAAACTGGACATCGCCATAGTCAAGTGGTTGAGCAAAAACCTAATAAGTTTGTTCAATGGATAAGAGCTTTATTTGTTTGGTATCCAAAGAATTATGATGTTTTAGAAAGGAAATTATTGTTCAAATTGGATTTATCAATTTTGGCTTATGCTTGTATTGCTACTTTTGTTGCTGGGTTAGATAATGCTAATGTTAATAGTGCTTTTGTTTCTGGAATGAAGGAAGATTTAGGTTTATATGGTAATGAATTAAATTGGTTAAATATTGCATATCAATGTGGTAATTTCTCTGCCCAGGTTCCATTGTTGTTACTTAGTTCAAGACCAAAATTAGCTCCGTATTTGATGCCATCTATGCAATTGATTTTTGGGATTTTAACATTTGTTCAAAGTCAAGTTAAAACTGTTCATCAATTATATGCAATTAGATTCTTGGTTGGTGTCTTCGATGGCCCACTTTATATTGTTGTTCACCTACTTTTGGGCTGTATGTCGAATTTTGTTGCTTTATCTGATAAATATTTGAAGAAATACTAACATTTTAATACTAGCATGGTTTGGATCTAAAAGATTTAGAGGTAATACCAATGAATTATTTGTGAGAACCGGTGTGTTTTTTTCAAGTACGTCATTAGGTACGATTATCAACTCTTACTTACAAGTTGCTGCATATAAGAACTTATCTGGGGTAAATGGTTATAAAGGATGGCAATGGTTATTCATTATTGATGGTATCATCACAGTTCCAGTTGCATTGGCCGGATTAGCTTTTTTCCCCGGTGTCCCTAATTCTCCGAAGCCATGGTGGTTCACAGATGAAGAATATGCATTGGCTAATAAAAGAAGAATTAGATACAAGATTGAAAAAGCTGGGAAGATAACATTAGATTCATTCAAGAGAACTTTAAAAGGTTGGAAATTTTATGTTTTTGGATTATCTTATATCTCAATGTTGATTGCATGGTATCCAACATTATATTTTAATTTATGGTTAAAATCACAAAATAGATATAGTGTATCACAAATTAATGTTTATCCAACAGTTCAAAATGTGGTGAATTTGGTTACTGCTTTCTTTGCTACTACAAGTGCATCTGTCATTTCACCATGGAAACCTTATGTGTTACTAAATGCAGTGGGAAGTTCAGTCTTCACATTAATCATGACAATTTATCATGTCCCTATCCCAGCAGTTTTCTTTGCATTTTATATAGCAGGTCTTATTGGTGCAGGTAGTCCAATCTTATTTGCTACAATAAATAGAATTTTAAAGCATGATCCAGAACAAAAGGCTATTGTTTTGGGATCTACAATGAGTTTTGGATTTATTGCTTTTACTTGGATTCCATTAGGTCTTTACCCTACAGCTGAATCAGAAGGTAAAAAAGCAGCACCACAATGGAGAATTGGATACCCAGTTGCATTATTCTGCTCTATACTTATGGGTGCATTATTCTTATTATCAGATTACTTGGAAAGAAGGGATAAGGCTAAATTGGGGATCACCACACGTCCAGAAGATGAAGCTGTTAGTGATGATGAGTATGAGGATAGTACAGGGTCTAGCTCATTGTCTGTAGAGGATGTACAATTAGATGATGGTATAAAGAAGTGATTAATATATGGATATAAAGGGATTTTAAAGTTATGATTTGTAGATCTCAGTAATTCGGATCCATTTTCCTATGGTTAATTTCCTATGGATCGGGAAAAAAGGTGACACAAAAATCTCCAGAACTCAGACGATATTTACTCAACTCGGAAAACATTAGTTGCATGAGCCAATACTACTGTATACTATTTAGATTTTACCATTTATGATGAACTTTAAGATCAAATTTGTTACTAGTTGTGTGATTTTGCACCGATGTACCCGATGATGATGGAAATTAATAGAATAGAATAGTACTATAATGAAGAAATCATAGTCCATGAGTGATTTAGAAGTAAAGGAAAGAAAGGATATAACTTTACATTGATGGGATAGTTCAAAGGGTATATAAAGGGATGTTAATCCCAAGCATACTTGACATTTTCTCTCAACCAAATCATCACAGAACAACAATAATAATTAATTAATAATAACTAATAATTATCAAAATCTTACAAACAATATGGCATATATTGATCACTTAGATCTTATCAAAAGAGGAGGTAATAGAGCTATTGAAATCAATGCTCCAACCGGTGCTGATTTTCACTTAACAGTTAGAGGGTCTGATTGGTTATGGGCTGCTTTCTGTATCTTTATTTTCGTTACCATCCTGGTTAGTGGTTTAATGTTTAGAAAACCTGCTACTGAAAGAGTTTTCTACTACACCACAATCTTACCATCTGCTTTTATGGCTGTTACTTATTTCACCATTGCTTCAAACTTAGGTTGGACTCCAATTAGAGCTGAATTCAATCATGTTACTACTGATATCCAAGAAGAACATCCAGGTTATAGACAAATCTTCTATGCTAGATATGTTGGTTGGTTTTTATCATTCCCATTTATTGTTATTAACTTAGGTTTCTTATCAAGAACACCATGGCCACAAATTGCATTCAATGTTTTCTTTACTGAAATTTATGTTGTTGCTGAATTGTTTGGCTCATTGGTTCATTCAACTTATAAATGGGGGTTCTATGTCATTGGTATTGGTGCTTATATCTTTGTTACAATCTTAAATTTTACAACATCAAGAAAATTAGCTCAAAAAGTTGGACATGATTGTTATGTTTATTTCTTGATTGGTGCAAGTATTGTTACCTTTTTATGGTTTATTTATCCAATTGCATTTGGTATCTCTGAAGGTGGTAATGTTATTCAACCAAATTCAGAAGCTGTTTTCTATGGTGTTTTAGATGTTGTCTTATTTGCATTCTATAACGGTGCCTTCTTAGTTGCAACTAATGATTTTACATTGGATAGATTAGGATTAGCAACTCCAGAATTCACTATTATCCCACATGAAAAATCTGGACTTTCAACTGCTTCTGGTAGAGCTTCAGGTGAAACTGCAGTTTCAAGAGCTGCTTCAGGTGCTACATCACCAAGACCTTAAGATATATACTTTCATGATACCCTGTGATGACAATCCTTTAATATAGATTATATATATATAACTACTTAATTATGCTAATGAATAAACGTCAAATTAAATATATACTAAAAAGATGCAGCCTTCTCTAATGACTCTTCTTCTAAAGAGATCTTCTTTCTTTTTTGATCTCTTAAATCTAAAATTAATACAATTGTTGTACATATAATACCTAAAGCCCCAAGACAAGCAGTATAAGTAAACCCAATTTTAAATTCTGGAGCTTGAGTTTGATCAAATGTTAAAATTGGAACCCAAGCACCTGTAACATAAGCCAGCATATTTGTACAAACAACAAGGAAATTTCTCTTCATATCATCATAAGCCAACATTTTATTAACCCAAGTGAAAATCAATGGTTGACCAATATTTAATGGTATACCAAGCCCAAAGTATGCAAACCAATGAAGCCCTGTTGGGATATCCCATACTGAAAGAACAGCACAACTGAATGTAACACATATAAACATAAAGTATAGGAAAAATGGCGTAAGCTTTGATTTGAAGAAATCATTAACCCATGCCACGATCAAACAGAACCCAATACCACCACCTGAAATACCAATTGGATAGATATTATAAGCATAAGAAGATAAACCAAGACCTTTTTTCATCCATAATTGGAACGCTTGTGAAGAAATTGGTTGGTATGAATTATTGAAAGCTAAGAATAATATTGGAAAGACATATATATGCCATGTGTTGAAGAAAGATTTGATTTTTTTAAAAGTATAAGGTTCTCTTGTATTTAATTGTGCTCCAATTCTTCTTCTTCTTTCTAATGCAATTAATTTATCTTCTTCGTTGAAATAAAATGCTGTAGTTGTAGATGGAGTATTTGGATCAACAAATAATGTATAAAACCCGATAGGAGCTGAAATGACTGCATCAATAACAAACATCCATTGAAAAGGTTTTAACCCATGTTGAGCCCATTCTGCTGTTAAAATCTTTTGTTGTAATGGACCTGAAACTAACCCAGCAGCAACACCAGCATTACCGAAAAATGAAGCTCTCTTGGATAACTCAGCAGGTGAATACCATGAACCAATTAACCATTCCAACCCCGGGAAATAACCAGATTCTGTTAACCCAATGAAAAATCTTAAAGCATACATCCCATTTAAAGATTTTGGTGTGACCATAAGAACAGTTAAAATAGCCCATGTAATTTCTAAACTTGCCAAATAATAACGGGCAGAAATTCTATGTAAAATTAAATTTGATGGAACTTGACCAATGATATAACCAACAGTCCAAAGAGTTGTTAAATAATTATATTGATTACCATTCATTTCATAATGTTCTTTCATCCCATTAACGTATGCAGTACCAACATTATTTTGATTCAATGTTTTAATAAAATAACCCAACATTGAAGAACTTAAAAGGAAAAAATCTAATTTGAATAAGAATGCACGTTCTTTTGGATGTTTATCAACTGAATCCCAAAAGAAAATAGAAGCTTTGTACCACCATGTTTCTCTTCTTTTAATTTCTTCTGGTGTCAATTCAACTTCTAAATCAATATATGGCTTATCAGTTTGTAGCTTAAATCCATTTACTTCTTGTCCTTCATGAGATCCAGAACTTGATTCAAGTGAGTTTAATTCATGTATTTCATGGTTTTCCTCACTCTTTGTGAATCTATCAATTATACCCATATTGTCTGATTGATTTACCTTTTGATATCCTTCAGTTTTCAAAAACCACAAGGACTCTTTCAATCTTTTTATACTCATTGATTATTTCGTAAAACTTTTCCATTTATTGAATTTAAAATAAATTTTTATCGAAATTTGACATGCAACGTACTTTCAATTGTGGATCCCTAGTTGTCGTTGCAGAATGCTATACTAGTATTCACCTGATATTTTTAATCTTTATCTAAGGAGGTTGAATTTTCAAACTTCTGTGTAGTTCTTTGTGATTATTGAGTCACTTTATATGCCACACTTTATGCAGTCGGATCTTTTAAATCTGAAGTTTGAACTTATCAGCTTGTACTAGTTTGATATGGAGCTTGAAGAACATTAACAATCAAGTTTTGAGTTGACATAAAGCCAAAGAAACTGAATTTCTCTTATCAACATTCATCTTCTAGGCTTTCTTGGTACTGTTAAACGTCTTGAGTTGTTCCTTTGCTTGAATATGACAATATGACTGCCTTGTCAACCTTGTTCCTGTGGTGGCTTTTATCTTAAATCCACATAATTGTGTCACTTTCACTGTGGCGGTTGGGTATTAAAGACGTGCGCGATATTCACGTGATAAAAATTTTAAGGATTTCAAGATCCAGTCAGATGAAGTACAATAGTGTGTGTGTGAAGTTTTGTTTGTGATTTGCTTCATGTTTTACTGTTAGTTATTGTGATCACGTTATCACCTTTTTAATCGTAATTATGTTGTACATTCATGTATTAGATCTAGGTTGATTCGGAAATAATAGCCCTCCGATCACGATAGGACAAAGTAATTGAAATTCAATACAAAATGAGAGCACACACCTAGCACTTCCCCTAGTCATGAGTATACCTAGCGACTCTATCTATAATTATAGTACCGTAGACCAAACACCTCGTACCACTGGCGTTAACTCTAGTAAGTTTTGAATTGTGCTAAGTTAATATCTGTTATTGACACGGGATATATTCATATAATTGGCAGAGAGAATTCGATTTTCTGTTATGGGTATATCTAGTAATTTTTGATCATATTTATGTGATATTACATGATAAATATGATCAGTCTCCATTAAAGTTTTCCACGGGGCTTTTGAATTCTCTCTATTTGGCCTCTGAAAATTCATAAAATTTCATATAATTTAAAAATGTGCACTTCTAGTTTTTGAAATTAGTTTTAAAAATTAAAAAATTGAAAAATTGAAAAAAAAAATTTTAGTGGCTTTAAACTTAGCATTGAACACATTAACCAATATAATAATACTCACTGATAATTATCCCATCTTTTTCTTTATAAGTTTTAGTGATTTATGTACCATAATATGCCTTTTAAAATATTTCTACTTTCAAATTTGATCGCGCGATATCACCGGCACTATATTAAATTAAACCCGAACCCCGACTAGACCTAGCACTTTCATTCGAATATGTAATTGTATAGAGTATTACCTATAATCTATGAGGATCGAGCCAATATTTGCTGATTTGTAGGAAGTTTAAGCGTACAATTAAATAATTGAGGATTTAGTTTGTAATCGTTATTCCTGTAACATCTTTACATTATAATAGGAAGCATAATATGGGATGGAATATAATTTGAAGGAGGAAAACAACACTTGATTTTACACTCTATACACGAGATCAAAAAACAGAAAATAATAAAAATTTAATATATTTATAATAATTATCAAAGCATTCATTTCTTAAAACTAATTTCAATAGCTTCTCTGCTGACATCATCTTCGTTCTCAGAGGATTGATTTTGCTCAATTTCATCTCCATTTTCAGCGACAATCTTTTGTTTAATAGCCAACAAAGCAGATTCTGGATCTTCTCCTTTTGCACTATTATAAACAACAATTCCATTTTTATAAGCGTTTCTTCTTTCATCTCTTTTATAAAATACTAGTCCATTTGCCATTCCAATAGCTTGAACAGCTGAGAAAACAGAAGAAC